TACAGTTATCATTATACTTACTGGTGAGAAATTAGATGATTTCACCCTAAGATCAGAAAGAAAGCAGGGATGTCCTCTCTAACTACTCCTATTGAACATCATGCTGGAAGTCCTAGTTAATGCAATAAGACAAAGTAAAATAAAAGGTATGTAGATGGGGAAGGTGGAAATAAAACTGTCTTTGTTCACAGATGGCATGATTGTCTAGGTAGAAATTCTCAAGGAATTGTTAAAAAAAAACCACCAAATCCTCCTGGAACTCATAAATGGCTATAGCAAAACTGCAGGACACAGGTTAATATACACAGGTCAATCAATTTCCTATAAACCAGCAATGAGCAATTGGAATGTAAAATTTAACACACAACATAATTTTTTAAAAAGATTTTATTTATTTATTTTTTCAAGAGAGACACAGAGAGAGGCAGAGGCAGAGGGAGAAGCAGGCTCCTCGCAGGGAGCCTGATGTGGGACTTGAACCTGGGACTCCAGGATCACGCCCTGGGCCAAAGGCAGACGCTCAACTGCTGAGCCACTCAGGCATCTCCATACAACGTCATTTATATTAGCACCAAAAAACGGAAATAAAAGGTCTAAACCCAACAAAATACGTGCAATACCTCAATATCTGTATGTGGAAACTATAAAACTCTGAATTAAGAAATCAAAGAAGATCTAAATGAATAAAGAGATAGCCTAGCCTCATGGATAATGTGTGAGAAAATCTAGGTAACCTAGGATTTGACAAAAAGTTTTAAAATTTTTTCTAAAGATTTGTTTATTTATTTGAGATAGAGAGAGAGCCTGTACATGAGCAGGGATGGGCAGAGTGAGAAGGAAAGAGAGAATCTCAAGCAGAATCCAAGTGGAGCAGAGCCCCACCCAGGAGCCCAAGGCAGGACCCAATCTGCCAACCCCAAGATCATGACAAGTCAAAACCAAGAGTCAGACATCCATCCAACTGAGCCACGCAGAAACTCCCAGCAAAGGGTTTTAAATACAACTCCAACAGGGGTGCAGTTGGTTGAGCACCTGACTCTTGGTTTCAGCTCAGGTTGTCACCTCAGAGTCTGCTGAAGTTTCTCTCTCCCTCTCCTTCTGCCCCCCTCTCTTTCTAAAATAAATAAATCTTAAAAAAATACAATGCCGGGGATCCCTGGGTGGCGCAGCGGTTTGGCGCCTGCCTTTGGCCCAGGGCGCGATCCTGGAGACCCGGGATCGAATCCCACGTTGTGCTCCCGGTGCATGGAGCCTGCTTCTCCCTCTGCCTGTGTCTCTGCCTCTCTCTCTCTCTGTGTGTGTGTGACTATCATAAATTAAAAAAAATTAAAAAAAAATACAATGCCAACAGCACAAGCCATAAAAGAAAAACTGATACCTTGGACTTCATTAGAATTGAAGATATGTGCCCTGGGTGGCAGATCAAGATGATAGCGTAGGAGAATCCTGAACTTACCTCCTCCCATGGACACACCAAGCTGCGTCTACATATAGAGCAACTTTCTCTGAGAACAATCTGAAGACCAGCAGATCAGCTCTTGCACATCTGAAGCTGTAAAGAAAAAGCCACATCGAGAAGGGAGGGAAGGACAGAGATGCAGTCTGTTCAGGACCTCCACCCTCAGTACCTGTATGTGGGAAGTCATCACAGGTGCAGAGACCCTCCATGAGGAGAAGGGGGTTAAGCCACACATAAGGCACCTCCTGCCCTGGAGACTTGCAGCAGAATGATGATCCCGTATGTCTGGCTTTTAAATTCAGAGGGGCATAAGTCCAGGGGAGCCAGAGGGCTATAGAAAAGTGAGGCTCCACTAGTAAAGGGCCTGCGCATAAACTCAGAGCCAGCACAGAGGTAAGTTTGGAAAGCACCCGGGCCTTACATGAAGGAGATTTATCAAATAATTTTAGGGTGTGGGCTGGAGGGGTAGGAATCTGTAGGAACTTTCTTCAGGACAAAAGCATCGTCAGAGGAAATAAAAAATACTTTGAGACTAATCAAAGTGAAAATATAACATTAAAAAAATCTTTAGGGCAGCCTGGGTGGCTCAGCGGTTTAGCGCCTGCCTTCTGCCCGGGGTGTGATCCTGGAGACCCGGGATCGAGTCCCACGTCGGGCTCTCTGCATGGAACCTGCTTCTCCCTCTCTGCCTATGTCTCTCTCTCTCTCTCTCTCTCTCTCTCTCTCTCTCTCTCTCTTTCTCTCTGTGTGTGTGTGTCTCATGAATGAATGAATAAATAAGTAAATAAATAAATAAATAAATAAATCTTTAAAAAAATCTTTAGAACACAGCAAAAGCAAGTTCTAAGAGGGAATTTTACAGCAATACAAGCCTACTTCAAGAAATAAAAATCTCCAATAAACAATCTAACCTTATACCTAGAGGAACTAGAAGAATAAACAAAGCCTGAAGTTAGTAGAAGGAAAGAAATAATAAAGATCAGAGTAGAAATAAATGAAATAGAGACTAAGGGGTGTTTGGGTGGCTCAGTGGTTGAGCATCTGTCTTTGGCTCAGGTGGTGAGTCCAGGGTCTGTGGATTGAGTCCCACTTCAGGTTCCCCGCAGGGAGCCTGTTTCTCCCTCTGCCTGTCTCCAACTCTCTCTCTGTGTCTCTCATGAATAAAGAAATAAAATCTTAAAATAAATAAATAGAGACTAAAAAAAACCAATAGGGAAAGTAGTGAAATGAAGAGCTGGTTCTTTGAAAAAATAAAATTTATAAACCTTTAGCCAGACTTGTCAAGAAAAAAAAAAAGAGAGGGGACTCAGGTGAATGAAATCAGAAATGAAAGAGAAGTTACCAGTGACACCATGGGAACATAAAGGACTGTAAGAGATACTACAGAGAATTATATGCCCACAAATGGCACAATCTGGAAAAAAATGGATAAATTCCTAGGAACATACAATCTTCCAAGACTGAATCAAGAATAAATAGAAAAGGGATCCCTGGGTGGCGCTGCGGTTTAGCGCCTGCCTTTGGCCCAGGGCACGATCCTGGAGACCCGGGATCGAGTCCCACATCGGGCTCCCGGTGCATGGAGCCTGCTTCTCCCTTTGCCTGTGTCTCTGCCTCTCTCTCTCTCTCTGTGTGTGTGACTATCATAAATAAATAAATAAAATCTTTAAAAAAAAGACTAAATAGAAAAGATGAACAGGCTGATTACTAATAATCAATGAAATAATAATGAAATTGAATCTGTAGTCAAAAAGCTCCTAACAAACAAAAGTCCAGGACCAGATGACTTCACAGGTAAATTATACTAAATGTTTCTTTTTTATTGTTTTTTAGTATCATGCCAACCAGAGATGCTGGGGTATGGGTTTTATTATTGGAATCAAAGTGCATGCCTACCAGCCATCGGGCAGGTAGACCAAGCGCTGTTGCAAAGTTGGTTTTTATAGGCAGTAGACGTGAAAGTGTACAGCCTGGTGTCACAAAAGTTGGGTGTAGGTTTCCCATCCAAAACTTTCTTGTTAGAAATTTCTCCAAATCCCCATCCCAAATCATATAATTTCTCCTACTCAATTTAGTCCATAGCCCTCATCCAATGATTGACTGTTTTTACCTAGAAGATACCCCATAGTGTGGTCCACTTTTTCCATTTACATTATGTTAGCATCTTTCCCTTAAATTCTAAAAGAGGAGACTTCCAATAATCTATGACATTAGTGTTCATGGTCTCATAAGTTGCTTTTTAGGAGGAAAAGCCCAAGAGGCCATCTGGCTACTAGTAGACTGGATTCTGAATTTCCACAGCAAACTCATTGTACCCTCAAAAATTAAAGTTCAGGGAAGCCCAGGTGGCTCAGCGGTTTAGCGCCACCTTCAGCCCAGGGTGTGATCCTGGAGACCTGGGTTCGAGTCCCACGGCCAGTGTCGGGCTCCCGGCATGGAGCCTGCTTCTCCCTCTGCCTCTCTCTCTCCTCTCTGTGTCTCTCATGAATAAATAAATAAAGTTTTTAAAAAAATTAAAGTCCGTAGAATTAATGTTCATATGTTATTTTATTTAAAAACAGTAGAAAATAGGGCTCCTGAGTGGCTCAGTCAGTTAAGCCTCCGCCTCCAGCTCAGGTCATGATCCCAGGATCCTGGGATTGGGGCGTGGGATTGAGTCCTGAGGGGAGCCCCTGCTCAACTGGGAGTCTGTTTCTCCCTCTCCCTCTGACCGTCCCTCCCTCTCTTTCTCTCTTTTAAATAAAAAAGATAAAAACAGTATAAAATGAATAGAATAAATATTAGCCATGTATTGCTGAGCTGCCTTATGGGACTCGTTTACAGGGCTGGACAAGTAGGGGCACATTAGCGGAGATGAATTTCTGGGGAATAAATAAGCAGTTTCTCTGGGCCACAGACTTAACTGTGGTGTATCAGGCTCAAGTCATCAACAAAGAATTTGTGCCCTCTAAGTTAACTGGTCAAAATGGGGCTTAGACATCGTACATAGCTCATCACCAGTTTTGATAGGTGCTCCTTATTTTGTTTGAGATTAGAGAGAAAAAAATTATGGGGGCGCCTGGGTGGCTTAAGCCTCTGCCTCCAGCTCAGGTCATGATCTCAGGGTCCAGGGATGGAGCCCACCTTGGGCTCCCTGGTCAGCGCGGAGTCTGCTTCTCCCTCTCCCCTCGCCCCCTTGTGCTCCTGCCTGCGCTCTCTGAAATAAAAATCTTTAAAAAAAATGCGTGTGGGGGTGGGTGTGCTCCTACACACAGCGCCATACAAACACATATATAGAGAGAGTTACACTAACTTTTGTTATTCACACGGCCGCTGTGGCCTATCGCCCTTCCCTTCAGGTATTTCAATTGAACCCTGCAGAAAGGACAAGCTCCGCAGTCCCGGTTAGAGGTGAGCAGCCTCACTCAGGACCGGAAGGATGAGTGGACCCGGTTGCCCCACGACTTCTTTATACCGCTACACCCATCAGTCCCGTGGGTAGAACTACCTAGGTCGGGGGAAGGGATTTGCCGACGTACCCGGAACTGTCTCCAAGGTTTCCCCAGGTTAGGGTGGCGGCGCCACGGCGGGTCTGGGGACCTAAACCAACCGAGATCTCCCGAGGCTCGCGAGAGCGCCCGCTTCTCTAGCGGCTTAGGGGACCCAGTGCCTGTGATGGCTCCAGTGTCGGGTTCCCGCAGCCCAGAGAGGGAGGCCTCGGGCTCCGGGTCGAAGCGTCGCAGCTCGTCAAGGAGCCCTAAGCCCAGCAGATCCGCCCGCTCCCCGCGGGGCCGCCGCTCGCGCTCGAGCTCTCGCTCGCACTCCTGCTCTCGCTCTGGGGACCGGAATGGTCTCAGCCATCAGCTGGGTGGCTTCAGCCAAGGGTCCCGAAACCAGTCCTACCGATCCCGCTCCCGATCCCGCTCCCGGGAGCGGCCCTCTGCGCCGCGGGGCAACCCCTTCTTTTCTGCCTCCTCGACTGCGTATTATGGCGGCTACTCGCGTCCCTACGGAAGTGACAAGCCGTGGCCTAGCCTTCTGGACAAGGAGAGGGAGGAGAGCCTGCGGCAGAAGTGAGTGTGATGGGCACGCCTTCTCTTGCAGGAGCCCACCCGACTTCCGTGTCTGTCTCACCGATCATCCCCCTTCAGACTATTCGGTTTTCACTCTCTGCCTCGCGCGGCTTTCTATCCCTTCAGCCCCACCCCTTTCCCTGTCAACGCCCCCCCCCCTTTCTATCCCTTCAACCCCTCCCGCCTTCCCTGTCAACGCCGTTTTCAGCCCTTTTCTATCCCTTTGGTCCTACTCCCCCGCCTCCCGCAAGTTCTTCCCACCCTTTTCTGTCCCTTCGGACCCACCCCCCCCACAAGACCTTTTCCCCCCTTTTCTATGCCTTCAGTCCCTCCCATGCCTTTTCCCACCCTTTTCTATCCCTTCTGTCCCCCTCAATGCCTTTTTCAACCCTTATCTATGCCTTCGATCCCACTTCTCCCCCAACCTCTTCCCACCTTTTTCTATCCCTTCAGTCCGCCCTCCCCCCCCCCGCAATGCCTTTTCTACCTATTTCTATCCCTTTGGATCCACTCCTTCCCAACCTGTTCCCACCCTTTTCTACCACTACCAGTCCCCCCATAACCTCTTTTTCCCCCTTTTCTATCCCTTCATTCCCCAACCACAACACCCTTTCCCCCTCCTTTTCTAGCTCTTCAGTTCCCCCCATGCCTATTTCAAACCTTTTCTATCTCTTTGGTCCCACTCCCCCTGCAACCTCTTCCCATCCTTTTCTATCCCTTAATTCCCCCCCCAACACCTTTTCCCCCCTTTTCTATCCCGTCACTTCCTCCCCCCCCCGCCAATTCCCTTTTCCACACTTTTCTATGTGTTCAGTCACACTCGCCCTCCAACCTCTTCCCACCCTTTTCTACCCCTTCAGTCCCCCCCATAACCTCTTTTTCTCCCTTTTCTATCTCTTCAGTCACTTTCCACAGCACCTTTTCCTCCCTTTTCAATCCCTTCATTCTCCACCACAAAACGTCTTCCTCCTTTTCTATTCCTTCAATCCCCCCCAATGCCTTTTTCAGCCCTTTGGTCCCACTCCCCCTTCAACCTTTCTCACCTTTTTCTATCCCCTTCAGTCCACTTCCAGTGTCTTTTTCCACACGTTTCTATGCCCTCAGTCCCTCTCCCCCACTAACTTCTTCCCACTCATTGCTATCCCTGTAATCCCACCCCTCCACAACACCTTTTTCTGCACTTTTCTGTCCTTCAGTCCCCCTCCAATGTCTTTTTCCACCGTTTTCTATGCCTGGGTCCCTCCTCTCCCCCAACATCTTCCCACTCTTTGCTATCCCTTCAGTACCTCCCAACACCTTTTCTTCCCTTTGCTATCCCTTCTGTCACCCGCCAATGTCTTTGTCCATGCTTTTCTATGCCTTCAGTGTCTCTCCCCCCCAACCTCTCCCCCCCCACTTTCCTATCCCTTTAGTCCCCCTTTTACCCACTTTTCTAACCCTTTACCCCCCCATGCTTTTTTCCATTTTCCAATGCATTCCAAAAATGCATGTTTTCTATCCTTTTGGTCACACTCCCTCTTAACCTCTTCCTACCCTTCTCTGTCGCTTCAGTCTTCCCCCAACACCTTTTTCCCCCCTTTCTATCCCTTCAGTCCCCCTCAATGTCTCTTTCCACCCTCTTCTGTGCCATTGGTCCCACTCTCCCATCAGTCTCTTCCCACCCTTTTCTATCCCTTCAGTCCCCCTAATGCCTTTTTCCACCCTTTTCTATGCCTGTAGTCCCACTCTACCCCCCAACCTCTTCCCACTCTTTTTTATCCCTAAGTCCCTTCTACAACACCTTTCTCTTTTTTCTATCCCCTCAGTCCCCCCAATCCCTTTTTCTACTCTTTTCAATCCCTTCAGCCCCCCAACACTTTTTTCCCGTTTTCTATCCTTCAGTCCCCCCCAGTGCCTTTTGCAACACCTTTCTATGCCTTTGGTCATATCCCCCCCCCAGTCTCTTCCCACCCTTTTCTCTCCCTTCCTTCCCCTCACACACCTTTTTCCCTCTTTTCTCTCCTTTCAGCCTCCCCCAATCCTTTTTCCCCCCTTTTCTATCCCTTCAGTTCCCCTCAATGCCTTTTTCCACCCTTTTCTATGCCTTCAGTCCCCACTTGCCTTTTTACATCGCATTCCATCCCTTCAGTCTCCCTCAATACCTTTTCCGCCTTTTCTATCCCTTCAGTCCCTCTCCCAATGCCTTTTCCTACCCTTTTCTATCCCTTAGGTTCCACTCCCCCTCCCCAACCTTTTCCCAGTCTTTTCTACCCCTTCAGTCTCCACCCCACAACCTCTTGTTCCTCCTTTTCTCCTCCTTCAGTCCCACCACCCCCCCACAGTGCCTTTTTCGACCCATTTCCATCCCTCCACACACAATGCCTTTTTCCACCCCTCTCATCCCTTGGGTTTTCCCTCCTCCTCTTCCTCCTCCCCCCCCCTCCTCCTCTTCCTCCTCCCCCCCCCTCCTCCTCCTCTTCCTCCCCCCCTCCTCCTCCTCGAGTGGCTTCATAGGGAGCACCCTGGTGTCTCTCTGCTTTCTTCTGCCTTCTGGCTTGTAGGGGTTCTCTTCTGAACCTCACACCTATGAGAATTATAGTACTTGCTTGGTTGTGTCATTATTTTTTGTAAGCATGTTTTTATTTCACACTAGAGACTGAGCTCCTGGAAAAGAAGAGACGTATTTTAATTGATCACAAAATTAGCAGAGCCTAGCACTTTGTAGGCGAACAACCGTTGCTTGTTGGATGATCAGACAGGCTTGAGGTAACAGGTTTTGTAAGTGGAAATGTTTCCTACCAAGTTTGGAAGGCTTGAGATTAAAAGTTTAAATTGGTTATAAAAAAAAAGTTTAAATTAGAGGGGAGAAAAACCTCTGAGACAAGATGGTTCAGTGGAGCAAAAGTGATCTGCTAAACTGTTGATTAAGCTACATTGAAAAAGGTCTTGTTAAATGGTCTCAGCTTGACCATGAAAAATGAGGTCAGCGTGAGATCAGGTGTCCTCTCATGAGTTTTGGAGTGGAAAAGTGGATAGTTTAAGAAGGATTGAAAGGAAATGGATTATAATTATTGCTGTGTAAGTCATAATATCTACAGCTTATTGAGTGTCCTCTCAGGGACTGTATAAGTGCTTTTGTGTTCTCTATGTTAAAAATGAAATTTAAGAATATCAGAGGCTTTGAGAGGTGCGATAAGATTCCAACAGCTCAGAGATGTCTTCATAAATCTTTTTCTTTCAGGAATGGGAAATAATAAAGCATAGCGAGCAATGAAGAGGACAGGCTCCAGAATCAGACTGCCTGAATTTGAAGCCTTGCTTTGCTGCCTGTTAGTTGTGTGACCTTGAGCAAGTTTCTTAACTTCTCCCGAGCTTTATTTCTTAACCATTTAAAAAGGGATAAAATTAGTGCCAAGGCTTTTAGAGTTGTAATGATTTAGTTCCTGGAATATAATAAATAGTCCTTGAGTGTAAGCTGTTAGGGCTTCCTGAATGGATGCAGAAACAAGAAAAACAGAACTGAGTTAGGTTGGAGACCTACCTCTCCAAATTAAATTTTTCATATGTTACTCAAAAAGCAACCAGTTTCCTATTGGACAATCCTCACCAAAAGATGTTGGAACTTTTTGGATGAAATTCGCATTTGTACATTCAGAAGATGAGTAGTTTATCTTAAGAGTACAGATAGAGCTGGGGGTAGCAGGAATGAGAACTTGACTGTTCTTATAGCCTGTCATACTTCCACCTGTATATATATTCCAAATTGAGTTATAAGTATGACCCTTTTAGGCTTTTCTTTAAGGGGGAAACCTGAGTCTAACTCTGCATGATTATAATACCTTTTCTCCTGAATAAAGAAGTAAAAAATAGTATATTCAAACAATCATACCAATTTATTTTGTAAGAGTTTGTTTTAACAAATGAAATCACAAGCAGGTAAACTTTAAGGATTTGAGCCTTTGTTTTTTGTATTTTATGAGCAAAATTTTTAAAAATGTCACAAACATAAGAAAAATTTTCACATCCTTCAAGAGTATATAGAGGATATAGTCCTTTTCCAAAAAGGAACTAAAGAGAAAACGAACTCCGTATCTCATTGAGAACAATTTTTGTCAAATAAAACTTTTCTTTATTTTCAGAGCTCTCTATATTTTCTATTTCTAATGGTTCATTTTTATTTTATTAATTCCTGAGTTTCTGAAAATGGGTTGACTAAACCAAAAGTAGAGGCTGCTCTTTATTCTCATAATTGTGTGTAAACAAAGAAGTTATTTCCAAATATAAAACTGTTTGTGCCACATATTTCAGAAGACAAAATGAGCAATTAGGAACTATGTTATGCGTAAGGCAGAAGAGATGCACTTTGACGAGCCTCTGGATTTCTTGCCCGGCCTCTCAGGCTGCCTATAGTCTGTACTATTTGATAGTACTATCAAAGAACATCAGATTATAATGAGTATACTTAATTTATTAATTTAAGTTTTAAAATATAAAGGGAAAACAGGACTTAACTAGACTCCTTTGAATTGATTATATATTTAGGAGACAATTTAGTTATGGAGTTCTAATTTATATGCCTGTATCTTCTAGGAGATTAAGTGAGAGAGAAAGGATTGGAGAATTGGGAGCTCCTGAAGTATGGGGACTTTCTCCAAAGAATCCAGAACCAGAGTAAGTGATTAAAAAATGCACTTTAAAAATGTAACATTTGCTTAAATTCAGAGACAATTGTCAAAATTTTTGTTAAGTGAGAACTTTTTAAGTATAGCTCATGTTTTTTTTCTCCTTTTTGCGATTTATGATATTCTACCCCTTAAAATTTTTAAACATTGAACATACCTAATGATGAAAACATGTTGTTAGGGATGCCTGGGTGGCTCAGCAGTTGAGCATCTGCCTTCAGCTCAGGGCATGATCCTGCGGTCCTGGGATCGAGTCCTGCATCGGGCTCCCTGCATGGAGCCTACTTCTCCCCTATGTCTCTGTCTGTGCATCTCTCTCTCTCAGTCTCATGAACAAATAAATAAAATCTTTTTTTAAAAAATGTTGCAAAATAAATAAATAAATAAAATAAAAATGTTGCTAATGGATTTTAACATATTTTTCTTTTTAAATTATAGTTCATGGGATGCTAATTTCCTATTCATAGAAGGGTGCAGTATTAAGACAAATACATTTATATTATTTTGAATTATTTTTTCTCAACATAATAGATTGCATATCACATGTTAGCCTTACAAAGGGATTTTTTTTGATGTATGATTGACAAACAACATGGATGGTAGATAGAGTCTCTAGGGTTTCTATATATATTATTTGCAAATAGTGACAGTTTTACTTCTTCTTTACCAATTTGGATACCTTTTATGTTTCTTGTCTTGTGGCTAGGCCTTCAGTATTATGTTGAATAAAAGTGGCGAGAGTGGTCATCCTAGTCTTGTTCCTGATTTTGGAATGAAGCTTTCAGCTTTTTACTGTTGAGTGTGAGGTTAGCTATGGGTTTGTCGTATCTGGCCTTTCTTAAGTTGAGGTATGTTTTCTCTATATTCACTTTGTATCTTACTTGAATGTTGAATTTTATCAAATGCTGTTTCTGCATCTACTGAGATTATCATAGAATTTTTATTCCTTTATTTTGTTAATGTGGTATATTAACACACCACACAAAAAATGTTTAAATTCCTTTAATAAATTCCTTTAAGGGCAGCCCGGTGGCCCAGCGGTTTAGCGCCGCCTTCAGCCAAGGGCCTGATCCTGGAGACCCAGGATCGAGTCCCGCGTTGGGTTCCCTGCATGGAGCCTGCTTCTCCCTCTGCCTGTGTCTCTGCCTTTCTCTGTGTCTCATTCTCTCTTTCCCTCTCTCCCTCTCATGATTAAATAAAATCTTTAAAAAATAAAAATAATAAATTCCTTTAAATGTGTTAATGTTGATTGCTTTGTGGATATTGAATTATCCTTGCATTTCTGAAATAATTTCTACTTGAGTATGGTATATGATCTTTTCAATGTATAAAATTTGGTTTGCTAATATTTTTTGTTGCAGATTTTTGCATCTACATATATCAGGGATATTGGCTTGTAATTTTTTTTATTTGTGGTGTCTGGTTTTGGTATCAGGATAATGCTGTCCTCAGAGAGTGAGTGTTTTCTTCAATTTTTTTTAATAATAAATTTATTTTTTATTGATGTTCAGTTTGCCAACATACAGAATAACACCCAGTGCTCACCCTGTCAAGTGCCCCCCTCAGTGCCCATCACCAATTCACTCCCACCCCCCGCCCTCCTCCCCTTCCACCACCCCTAGTTCGTTTCCCAGAGTTAGGAGTCTTTATGTTCTGTCTCCCTTTCTGAAATTTCCTACCCATTTCTTCTGCCTTCCCTTCTATTCCCTTTCACTATTATTTATATTCCCCAAATGAATGAGAACATATAATGTTTGTCCTTCTCCAATTGACTCATTTCACTCAGGATAATACCCTCCAGTTCCATCCATGTTGAAGCAAATCGTGGGTATTTGTCATTTCTAATGGTTGAGTAATATTCCATTGTACACATAAACCACATCTTCTTTATCCATTCATCTTTTGATGGACACCGAGGCTCCTTCCACAGTTTGGCTATTGTGGACATTGCTGCTAGAAACATCGGGGTGCAGGTGTCCCGGCGTTTCATTGCATCTGTATCTTTGGGGTAAATCCCCAGCAGTGCAATTGCTGGGTCGTAGGGCAGGTCCATTTTTAACTCTTTGAGGAACCTCCACACAGTTTTCCAAAGTGGCTGCACTATTTCACATTCCCACCAGCAGTGTAAGAGTGTTCCCTTTTCTCCGCATCCTCTCCAACATTTGTGGTTTCCTGCCTTGTTAATTTTCGCCATTCTCACTGGTGTGAGGTGGTACCTCATTGTGGTTTTGATTTGTATTTCCCTGATGACAAGTGATGCAGACCATTTTCTCATGTGTGTGTTGGCCATGTCTTTGTCTTCCTCTGTGAGATTTCTGTTCATGTCTTTTGCCCATTTCATGATTGGATTGTTTCTTTGGTGTTGAGTTTAATAAGTTCTTTATAGATCTTGGAAACTAGCCCTTTATCTGATACATCATTTGCAAATATATTCTCCCATTCTGTAGGTTGTCTTTTAGTTTTGTGGACTGTGTCCTTTGCTGTGCAAAAGCTTCTTATCTTGATGAAGTCCCAAATAGTTCATTTTTGCTTTTGTTTCTTTTGCCTTCGTGGATGTATCTTGCAAGAAGTTACTGTGGCCGAGTTCAAAAAGGTTGTTGCCTGTGCTCTCCTCTAGGATTTTGATGGAATCTTGTCTCACATTTAGATCTTTCATCCATTTTGAGTTTATCTTTGTGTATGGTGCAAGAGAGTGGTCTAGTTTCATTCTTCTGCATGTGGATGTCCAATTTTCCCAGCACCATTTATTGAAGAGACTGTCTTTCTTGCAGTGGATCGTCTTTCCTCCTTTATCGAATATTAGTTGACCATAAAGTTGAGGGTCCACTTCTGGATTCTGTTCCATTTATCTATGTGTCTGTTTTTGTGCCAGTACCACACTGTCTTGATGACCACAGCTTTGTAGTACAACCTGAAATCTGGCATTGTGATGCCCCCAGCTATGGTTTTCTTTTTTAATATTCCCCTGGATATTTGGGGTCTTTTCTGATTCCACACAAATCTTAAAATAATTTGTTCTAACTCTCTGAAGAAAGTCCATGGTATTTTGATAGGGATTGCATTAAACGTGTAAATTGCCCTGGGTCACATTGACATTTTCACAATATTAATTCTGCCAATCCATGAGCATGGAATATTTTTCCATCTCTTTGTGTCTTCCTCAATTTCTTTCAGAAGTGTTCTATAGTTTTTAGGGTATAGATCCTTTACCTCTTTGGTTAGGTTTATTCCTAGGTATCTTATGCTTTTGGGTACAATTGTAAATGGGATTGACTCCTTAATTTCTCTTTCTTCAGTATCATTGTTAGTGTATAGAAATGCTACTGACTTCTGGGCATTGATTTTGTATCCTGCCACGCTACCAAATTGCTGTCTGAGTTCTAGCAATCTTGGGGTGGAGGCTTTTGGGTTTTCTATGTAGAGTATCATGTCATCGGCGAAGAGGGAGAGTTTGACTTCTTCTTTGCCAATTTGAATGCCTTTAATGTCTTTTTGTTGTCTGATTGCTGAGGCTAGGACTTCCAGTACTATGTTGAATAGCAGTGGTGAGAGTGGACATCCCTGTCTTGTTCCTGATCTTAGGGGAAAGGCTCCCAGTGCTTCCCCATTGAGAATGATATTTGCTGTGGGCTTTTCATAGATGGCTTTTAAGATGTTGAGGAATGTTCCCTCTATCCCTACACTCTGAAGAGTTTTGATCAGGAATGGATGCTGTATTTTGTCAAATGCTTTCTCTGCATCTAATGAGAGGATCATATGGTCTTGGTTTTTCTCTTGTTGATATGATGAATCACATTGATTGTTTTACGAATGTTGAACCAGCCTTGTGTCCCGGGAATAAATCCTACTTGGTCTTGGTGAATAATTTTCTTAATGTTCTGTTGGATCCTATTGGCTAGTATCTTGTTGAGAATTTTTGCATCCATTTTCATCAGGGATACTGGTCTATAATTCTTTTTGGTGGGTCTTTGTCTTGTTTTGGCATTAAGGTGATGCTGGCCTCATAGAACGAATTTGGAAGTACTCCATCTCTTTCTATCTTTCCGAACAGTTTCAGTAGAATAGGTATGGTTTCTTCTTTAAACGTTTGATAGAATTCCCCTGGGAAGCCATCTGGCCCTGGACTTTTATGTCTTGGGAGGTTTTTGATGACTGCTTCAATTTGCTCCCTGGTTATTGGCCTGTTCAGGTTTTCTAGTTCTTCCTGTTCCAGTTTTGGTAGTTTGTGGCTTTCCAGAAATGCGCCCATTTCTTCTAGATTGCCTAATTTATTGGCGTATAGCTGTTCATAATATGTTTTTAAAATCGTTTGTATTGGGGATCCCTGGGTGGCGCAGCGGTTTGGCGCCTGCCTTTAGCCCAGGACGCGATCCTGGAGACCCGGGATCGAATCCCACGTCGGGCTCCCGGTGCATGGAGCCTGCTTCTCCCTCTGCCTGTGTCTCTGCCTCTCTCTCTCTCTGTGTGACTATCATAAAAAAAAAATCGTTTGTATTTCCTTGGTGTTGGTAGTGATCTCTCCTTTCTCATTCATGATTTTGTTAATTTGAGTCTTCTCTCTCTTCTTTTTTTTTTTTTAATTTTTCTTTACTTATGATAGTCACAGAGAGAGAGAGAGGCAGAGACACAGGCAGGGGGAGAAGCAGGCTCCATGCACCGGGAGCCCGATGTGGGATTCGATCCCAGGTCTCCAGGATCGCGCCCTGGGCCAAAGGTAGGCGCCAAACCGCTGCGCCACCCAGGGATCCCTCTCTCTCTTCTTTTTAATAAGGTTGGCTAATGGTTTATCGATCTTATTAATTCTTTCAAAGAACCAACTCCTGGTTCTGTTGATCTGTTCCACAGTTCTTCTGGTCTCGATTTCATTGAGTTCTGCTCAAATCTTTATTAATCTCTTCTTCTGCTGGGTGTAGGATCTATTTGCTATTTTTTCTCTAGCTCCTTTAGGTGTAAGGTTAGCTTTTGTATTTGAGTTCTTTCCAGTTTTTG